GTGGTAAAGTTGCTTTTACTATCTTTTAATTCACAAAGTTGTCAATTGTACAGATGGCTGCGTGATGCTGTTTTTCTAAAAAGAACCCTAAACATCATTGCCTTCACTGGCTTTCTCTCTTAAATGAGTTTCATGTAGGTGCTGCAATCCCAACACCCATCCCACAGATATGAGTGAAGCAGGATAAAGAGTGATATATAAGCAAGTTTTCTTGCCATCCTTGTTAGCTTACTGGGATTCTGCACAGTGAAAGAAAAGCAATTATACTGAGATGTGGCTTATCACTCACTCTGAACAGGAGAAACACCAGACCCACATTGACTTGGATCTGCCTTCAACACAGCAGAATCTGAGGAAGGCAGCAGTCTTGAGTCAAACTGGCACTTCTGTCTTTAGTTCAGTAGGGAAAATTAAAGCTTGCCAAATCAGCTATATGGAAAGCCATTCCACACTGCAGAACTCCTTGAGACTTCTTTGAGATAAAGATGTTTTGTTCAGAAAACAGACCTGTATATGGGCCCATCCCATTGATGAACCTTATGCCTCTTACAGAGCTGCTTCAGCTGGGAGGGCTGGACTTGGACTCTATACTCGATGAAGTCAGATTAGCTTGATGAAGACTGACACAGAGCAAGGTTCAGAGCCAGAATCTAGCTTACGTGCTCTGAATCACACTTGCAAAAAAAGTTCTTTCTCCCATGACTGAGCTGTAAACTTATTTTCCTTTCAACAGTCTAGGGGAAATTCCAGTGAGGCAATAAACAAACTGTATTCTCTGAAAAGTTTGTCAAATTTATGCTGAAATAAGTAACCATATTTTTACTCTGTGATTTTGGCAGACAAACAAATCCACTGTCCCTGATATTAGTGCACAAAAGCACTTTCAAAGGCAAATTGTCTGATATAGCATCCCATGCAAAATTTATATAAAGGCCAATCTTATTCAAAGTAATTTAAACATCATATCACAAGCAGCATCAGAGAAGCAAGTTGGTCTACTTTGCTTCAGAGCCTTTATTGGAACAAGAATCTTGTAATTATGATTCTTTCAGCATTTCTGCATGCAGTTTTGTGAGGGAGGTTTGAACACTAGCATTAATACTGTATCTTCAGTAGCCAAACTCAAAATAAATGTTTACAATTTTTTTAATTCCAGACTCTGGTGTAATTAAAATGAGACTATTTATGCAGCTAGCATCCGAATTGAAAATTGTTAAGATTTTCAACACAGTCCTTTGTCAGAAAGGAAATCAGGTAACAGCTTCCATTAGCTGATGCACTAGCTACTAAATAACATAGCTTTGTGTTTCTGTCTTTTTCCCTCCACACTGCTTTATCTGTTGGGTTTTTTCCTCTTCTGCTGCTGAAAAGGAGCTGTGAGCCTGTGACACCAGGCAGACAAAGAACAAGAAAACTTCAACGAGTTTAAGAGCCAAGAGACCTTCAGTTAACACCCTTGGTGAGTAAAGTTTTGGTGCTTCTCCACATGACTCCCATGCTGGCCACTGCTGACAAGAGGATTCCAGGAATATGAGTATCTACAGGATCCATAAAAACAAGGCTCCACATTAGTTGTCAGCTCCCCCCACCTATTCCTCTGAGGGGAATAATTACTTTTAGCTGAAGACATTTACTGGGAATAGGATAAAACCTACAAATTGCAGCCTATGATGTCTGGATTTTGTCTGTTTACAGGAGCTACTTTATTCTACTCAGTTGTTTCCACTGTTCAGGCCCATTGGAAGCAGTCATTTCCCACTTTATTCCCAAACATTGATGCTTACATTAATACAATTCAGCAACTCATGGCTTAAAAATAGTAAGAGTTTAAAAAAACCCCAACAACTTCACAAAGACGTAAGATAAAAACTTGCAACTTCTATATCACATTAGAAAATCACAGGCTTACTACCCACTTTGGTTAATCTTTTCCCACACATAGGGCATCCTTGGCATTCAGTTGTCATCACCTGTAACTGTGAAAGGCACCATTAGTTGCTTGTTAGTAATTCACAGTTAATATCTTCAGTTATTTTTTACCACACTTTTTGTTTAGAAAAAACAGAACATAAATAATAATGAAACAAAACCCTCGAAGGAGCATGTCTGAAATGCTGTGTGTATGCTGTAGGCATAACAAACCTTGGCTCATCTTGAGGTCACAAGAAGTTAACTCTTCTCCAAAACACCTGCCTGAAAAATTTCATCTTTGGGTAAGAAAATCTTCAGAGGGAGAAATTAGAGCCTCTCAGTAGGGGAATTTTAAACAAATTAGGAGAGGTGGAGTTAGGCCATCATTTCACTAAGTGTAGAGCAAAATAATCCCTTTATGCTAAAACTGTATCTGCTCTAATTACTACACTTATTATGTGCAGTTCTGAAGTTTTATATCAAGAATATTTTTCAAAGCTTAAGACTAAATACTGGCAATGTTCAAGGCATCCCAGTTGGACCAAGAGCCATGGACATCTCTGTTCCATCCTGTCCCTTCTGGTGGCCATCCCTGCACTGGCTGCACCTGGGGCTGACAGAGCCTCCTAAGAGAGCAAGGCTCAGGGAGCTTCAGGCTTCACTGCAGGGATGTTGTCAACAAATTAGGAGCTATCAGGCAATTAGGAGACCCCAGCCAGTAGCACTGCTTCCCTTTTGTCTTTTACTGCTATATTTGCCCCCAGCAGCCCAGCCTGATTCAGCCCACTCACGACCTCTCACCCTGTGCCTTGTCCTGCATGGTTTACCTCTCTTCACTCTTTCATGCCAATGGGAGCTCACCAATGTGACTGACTGCTGTGGCAGCAGCTATCCTATGCTGTCAGGAGGATAGCTGCAGAACATTGTGAGAATTCTGGATGCAAAGATGACAGAAAACTTGGCAGGACCTCCAGATGAGGCCTGCTGCACCCAGCAGGATACAGTGTGAATGCAGCCTGTTGAACTACCAGCAGAAGACACCTATGGCCAGGGGCAGCTGCTCTCCTGACAGGACCCAGGATGCAGCACCAAGCAGGAGAACTAGACCCTTCATTGCTTCCCTTGGCTGGTATCTTTCCCATATCTCCTCCTTTAAAACAAGTGAGTCTGTCCATACTCTTTAAGCTAGGGAGGAGGTGGAGTGCCAAATCTGAATATCTGAGGGGAGGTGGCAAAACAGTCCTGGAAGAGGTAGTGAGAAGACAAGTCTTCGGCATGGAGCTGAGGAGGAGGCATAGAGCTTAATGATGCTTGACAAGATGATGGCAAACAGAAAGGATGGTGATTTTGGATCAGAGGAGAGAGACAGCACTGTGAAAGTGGGATATAAAGAGCAAAAGGATAAGGAGTTCATATGCAGGACCATAGCAAGCAATTGGGAAGGAAACTGGTACAAGAAATTGGCAAGGAAGAAAGTGAGCCAGAGCAGGACAATAGAAGAAATACTTGTGACGGGTGGAAAACATTACCCTCCATACCCTACATGGTTCAAGAAACTCCCTGTTACTCTGCTGCCACCAAATACCTACCCCAAAATGCATGTCTTGCCTTCTTATACTAGTAAGTCTACAGACAGTCTGAGATCTCCTGCATTTCCCACTGCAGAAATTTCTCTCATGGAATTACATTTTCAATTCTTCTGCTAAATTATGATGCCAGAGGCTATGATTTCTGGGGGTTTTATCTCAACTTGCTGTTAAAAAGCTCTTTAAAACACTAAAAAGGGACAATATTAATGCAAAACATCCCTAACATCCCTGCAAAACAGTCTTTATTCCAAAGACTCAAAATTCAAGTAAAGCAGGTTTCTCATGTGACTATAATTCTGCATTCTGATACAGGGTTCGTATTCAGATTGAATAATTATATGCCACATTTACACCATATATTTTTCTTACTGCCTAGAAATTCAAGGGTGGGAACAGAATCGGAAGCCACCTGAGAATTTTCCAGAACTGCTATCAGAAAGTCATACCAAGTTGCAGAAGACTATATTTTCATCAGAATTCATTTTCACTGTGGAAACAATAACAGGTTATTTCAAGTTGATAGCTTCACACCCACACAATTTGAGTATTTTGAATGTTTATACAGACAGCATCACATTCCTTCTTCCCCTTTTTCTTTTTGTGGATATACAGTAATGCAGAATTAATAAAGCAAGTGGAAGTCTTGGTAACAGAAGACTTCTGTTTTAAGAGCTGTTTTTCAAAACAGTATGGAGGAAATCATCATCTTCAACTTTTCCCATTAAATTGTATATTGAACAGGTACAAATATGCAACCACACTGAAACACTTATTCTCCCCAAATTAGCATTATTACTTTATTTGGTGATTCATTACAGTCTGCAAATCCAATAGTCAAAAAAAAAAATAACCTAGGCATAATGTTAAAGCATTTTACAAGCAAAATACTTTACTATTTCCTTTTCAATTTGCATAGGGTGGGATAAGTGTATTGGTTAGAGAGTACAACATACAGAAGAACAATACCATAGCTCATCAAACTGTACTGCAGTGTTATGTTCCTGTGAGTGAACAGTACTTAAACAGCTATAACTGTCAATGGAAAACCACACACTTCAACATTAACAAAGCTGCCTTCCCATGACCATGATGCATCATGAAGGCTGCAAGCCACTGGTTTCTTTTCTTACACTGTTGATCATTCTACTTTAAAGAAATTAAGGAGTTAAACAAGCCAGAATGCATCTATCTATGCTCATTTCTTTTCTACCTGAACAAAGACCAGTATGGAGAGAGGGAATTTTTAAAGTCAGATTCTGAAACCATTTATAGTAACATACGTCTCTCCTATTTTTAGTATCATGGAGCTAGCAAGCCTAGGGCTTCATCCACACATCTCTATATTACTGTGCATCCAGGTAAAAAACTGTATTTTTCACTATGTAGAAACAAACTGCAAAGAGATCATGCTCCTTTCCCACTGCAACCACATCTGTTCCTCCAACTGTATAAATCTGGCTTTAAAGTCTCACAAAGCTAAAAAATAGTTGATCTAGATTGTAATAAAAAAAAAGAATATTAAATACCTTTGGTAAAAATAGATATATTTAACAAGTTTAGAAAAGCAAATAGTTATATTGTCAAAAGGAGAGTATAAAAATGTACACAATAGAAAAATAACAAACAAACAAACAAAAAATCGTCAGCCATAGTAGTAAGAATAAAGGCGCTGTTCTTTTCAATGTTTGCTTCCTTAGCTCGTGTTATTGTCCAGTCTTTCTTCTAAAAGGCAGGAGCTTTACTAGAGCATATGAAAAATCCAGTCCTTCCTACCAGCATCAGACAAATGAAGTTTCATTCGGAACAAGACAGTCTGGTTTAACCCAAGTTTATACAACAGAGAATGCTTTGATTTAGAGTACATATAGGAGTAGCTGAACACAAAGAAAGATTTCGGGTGTTTTCAACCAGAGGCCAGATGTACTGGAGCTGTAGAAATGAGACAGCCAGCAGGATCAAGTCTCCATGATGTCAGCCTTCTAACTTTATTTTTACTCCTAAATTATCAATCCATGTATTGTCAAGAAAATTGTGGGGAACAACAACAATACATATGTTTTAAATCCCTCATTGATGCCTTTCTCCCATCCTTTCACTGGGCCTCCAAACAGAGCTGTCACACAACATATAATCCCAGTTTGGTTTCTCCTCTTTTTAGAGCTCACTGTAAATCTTGAAGATGGAAGATCCCCAAAGCAAACAACTGAGATTACAGAAGGAGATAATGCACAAGCCCCATAATAGAATCAGCCATTGATTGAATGTGCTTTGAAAGAAAACAGCACAATTAAATCATGTTTATCCTTCAGTATTCCCTTTGCACACACAGTCACACTCCTCGTGGTGTTCCAAGGGTACATCTGTTAATGATTTATGCAATCCTCGGACACCAATCCTTGGCTTCAGCTGAAGAACCTGAAGGAGAAGAAGTCAAGCATCAAGAAACAGCAAGTGCTTCATCACAAACCTAGACTATGAGCTAAATTGCACACTGGATTACAGGAAGTATATTAAAAGATATAGGCTTTCCTCAGCTGACTTTCTACATTAATTCCACCCACTAATTATTATTTTTGCTTTTACCTCAAGCCCTTTACAAAGTTGATTAAATCATGTTGCTTTACCAAAGAAGATTCTTGAAGTTTCAGATCTTCACTTAGCTTTATTTAAGAGCTAATAGATTTAACCCCATGGAATTATTAAATAACTCGATAATGAATAATTTTAGCTATAGATTTATAACAATGGAAATGAACAAATATCTGTTCCTTCATAAAGTTGACATCTACCACCAGAGAAAGCAAATGAAGAGATATGGCTGTATTGTGTTTGAACTGCATCAGTAAACAAATACCTCAGGAATGAATTCATACATGCACCATAAAGAATTTTAACAAGGAAGATATTACTCTTTTAATGTAATACCTAATTAAAATGCTGAAAAAATATTAACTGCCAATGCAATATGTAAAATATTAAAATATTAATATCAGTGTAAACCCAAACTCCTTAGTTGGTTTTCACTATTTCCAAACATGCAAATGTAAAAAAAAAAAAGAAGGGTGTACCTCATGGTATTTTTTGGTGACTTTTGTTGGCACACATTGGCACTCATTGCAGGTCTGTTGACAGCAGGCACAGTTTCCACCACAACGTTTAACCAGGAGACACAATGGCCAGAAGATGGTATCTGTTCTCTTCAGCTCCTCCCTCAGTGACACTGAGAAGTTGCGAGGGGTACAACTATAGAGCCGCACCTCCTCCTTTAAGAGGTTGAGATCAACCACTGCAAAAAGACAAAGAAACTGGTGCTTTTCTGATTTGTAATCCAAGTTCATTGGTGGTAAAGCAACTTCAGCAGTGCACAACCCATGATGAAAGTTCATTTTTGTGCAGGTGATGCAAGTTCAGCACAAAAGTATAATACTGCAGTTATATGAATACGATGAAACCTAAATGGAATGATCGTTGTATAGTCGTATTCACCAATTATTTTATAACTCTGGCAAAGCTGGTTCAAATGAAACAAAACAAGCTTTGGCCACTATGTTCCTATACATGCTTTATAAAATCAACCCTAATGGAATTCCCTTTGTTCATACTAATACCCTGAGCTCTACTGTTGCTATTTTATATTCAGTTTGGATTGGAAAAAATGGCAAAGTTTCAAAGACATTTTAATTCATTTGCATAAAGCATTAAAACTTCTCCCTTGTTAAAATTTCAATTATTACTTCTTTGCATGGGCAATGTAAGTATAAGAATCAAACCACTCATACCTAAGCAGAACTCACTTTTATGGACTAAGAAGGTCAAGAAGTTGTCATCATCAGTGAATTCTGTCCAGACAGTAAGTGCACAAGATTGTATATCTATATAACTATTAGTAAGCTTCATTTTCTCCTCCTCCTTCATAGCAGCATATATGAATTTCTGTTGCTTCTCTAGGTTTCATTTTCTCTTGAAGTGTCTTAAATAAAAGTTCCTCCTTGTAAGCACCTAATTTGAAGTTAAAGATATTAATATTTGGTAACAGTTTCCCTATAAACTGGTTCCACTTTATCACACTGAAGTTTCACTATGTAAATGATTGAACAACAAGCTCATGAAAAGCTCTGAAACAGGACAAGCTCCTTTAGGTTTACCTTAGCTGCATAGTCAACAAATAACAGGCCTTAAAAGAGGCAGTTAAAATTTCTAAAAACCCAAAACAAAACAAAAACTAAAAAGACAGGGGGAAAAAAGGTAAAAAGCAATGTAAATTGATTTATTTCAGAAAAGTCAGACTATAACGATCATGATCTGTGATCTTTTGTCTGAACTGTTTTTCTCCAAACCAAACGTTAAGGAACAGACGTAATGTCTAATTCACTGTCTGGCAACAAGAGGAAAATAGAAGAAAGAAATCCCTAAGATAGTATGGCTACTGAGACAACTGAAAGAGGCCTCAAACAAAGTGGCAAAGATCCCTGATCAACTGCTTTTGTGTAAATCAAGAAGAAATTAGGAAAAAAAATCCCTGTGCATTTTTATTACTTTAAAAATACTTAATAGTTATTGCTATCAGTTTGTAAATAAAAAGTTATACGATAAAGCTAAAATAAGTTTCTGATCTGAATCACCCTCTAGAGAAACAGATTTTTCCCCTCTCTACTATGTAAAGAGCCTCTAGATGTCACCAAGGAGAACTTCGGCCTATTAAGACAAGATAATACCTCTTAATTCTATTTAAACATGTAAGAAACAAAGAGAATTTAGAAGCTGCAGTTCTCTAGTGGAAGTATTCATTGGTACTATTCCAGGAGCAGATCTTTGAGAAGGAATTTCAATCCATGTTTCTTCAAACATTTCTTTTGCAGACCATATCCACATGCTGGCATCCATAAGTAAGGATTTATTGTTGTGAAAGGTCAGTTAAACACACTGAAACCTTTTCTCTGCTTGCACTTACACAGAATGCCAAGCTGGGGCACTTCATTCCATCACTATCAGGTTAACATAGGCTCCTAAATAAACAAACTGATTTTTAAGAGAGAGGAGTGTGTAATAACTCCAATAAAGTTAGTGATAGGACACCAGTCTGCCTCCCACACTGCAAGAGCATTCCTTGGAGAAAGCTGAGGAGGGAACAGAGGAAAAGAGAGACAAAACTTCCAAGGGAGAGATTCACTGTAAGAAATTAGAAATTATTTAACCTCTTCTGATCAGCTAATAGCTGTAGGCTGAGTCATTTAGAGGGTGGACATGTCTACCTCGATTAATCAAGAACTGTGGACAGGAATGGAGTACTTCTTTCTTCTGTTATGTTTTCAAACATATAATAAGTGAACCGTCTGAATGAGGATAAAATGCCTAAAGCACAATGTGAAAAATGCTAGTTCTGCTAACACTTTCTACTGGTAGATTGTTTCTACAGAGATTGGTATGCTTGGTACAGAGAATACGAAGAAGCTGAGGTTATGTGCTGCTCAGCCCTTCACCATGAGGTATTGAAAGCTGGGCACTGACACCTCTTCCAACAAGTCCACTGAGAGTGGGGGAGAGCTGCCTGCATGGTGGTGTGCTTCTCTGTTACCTCCTGCTTTGTGGCAGCAACAGAGTAATGCATCAATTTCCCCATACTAGCTGTATTTATAACACAGAGAAAAGGGCAATGCACTAAAATGAGCAGCATGTTACACATTTTGCCACAAATTGGAATGGATTTGAATTGAACCCCTCAGACCTGCAGACATGAATTTTTAAAAGGTTCTGTGGAAGAACACACAGTCAGCTCTTAGCAGATATCTTTCAGTGTGCTGTACTGTTACGATAGGCTTCAGGAGAGATGAACAAATGTCATGCTTGATTTCCATGCTTTAAAGTATACTAAGGTATATTGCTATGATACCTCTCAATGAACCCTTGCCCTACCTTATGTAATTCAATTTCATTAAAAGGTCTGTGGCAAATTTATCTAGTGCTTACATAATCACTTCTTTGAAGTGTGTGAATGAAGCTGTTATTTTTTCAAAGAGTAGCTGTCTGTTCAAAATTTATTTTAACACACTGTGGGCATGAAGCTAGATGAGAGAATGTATATATTCCCTTAAAAGTGTTTACTTAACCACAATAAAAGGTTATGTGGATTTCCCAAGTGCACTGAGTTACAGTACCTGTTATAATGTGAACATTTAAACACTCCTTCAACTTGGCTTCCACTCATGTATCATGTTTGACACAACAGTCCGAGTTCTTTTGTCTAGCACTAGCTCAGGAGGAATGGAAGGCTCTGCAGTAGCACATAAATGGGAAACACTAAAATAAAAATAAGGGGAGAAGGAAAAAAAAGGGAGAAAAAATGTAGATGCAGGTAGGTCCACAGTAAAGTCTATTTCAAAAGTGTGCCTTTACTGGCACATAGAACTGAACTAATCCATGTTCACCTCAGCCTGAAATTAACTGTGTTCTGCAACTGCCAATGCAACTCTCTGGCATCTTCTGAGATGTGTATTGAGTACTTAGGGGAACCTTCTTTCCAAAACATTTCTCCAGCTGGGTGCTGCTCTCAAAGTCAATGAAACAAATTAAATTCTGATTGGGGCACTTGTGTGTGAGCACAGATAAGAGCAGGATGGTTTTCATTCCTAAGCACTTTGGAGATATTCCTGGAGTGTAAGTTTCTTACTGGCTTCTACAATAGGAGCTGCTACAAAATCCAAAACAAGAAGTTAAAAAAAAAGAAGTCACATAACTGTATGAAAAAAGTATCTGCTAAGGACTATGGTTTGATTGTGACTCTTTTTTTTCTTCCTAAGCAAATTTCAGAATATGGTCTAATGATTAGACAGAGATTTCAGTGGGAAGAGATAGGATAATTTTAATTTTCTTCACAGCAAAATGTATTTTATTTTTAAATATATTCAGTATTATAAAAGAATTTAGGACTATTTTTTGACATCAAAGCCTCTGAACTTGGTGTTTCTCCTTTCCTGGCTAGAAGTTTTTGGAAGCATTTTATCCAGAGAAAACATCAGAGACAGAGGTTCTGTGGAATTTAGGTTGTCTAAATATAGTGCTTTTCATACAAATTATTAAGTAGGAGTAGAGGACATTTTTGTCTCTACATAAAGTAACATACACTTTTAATTACATGTTCATGAAAGCGGGACAGCAATTTAGCTTTAAACTGAAACATTGCAAAAATAAAACTGATTTAATCATAGAATCAAAGAGTTTGAAAAAAACCTAAAAATTTTAGGGAATGCACTTCTTCCAAACATTTCTTAAAAAGGTCCTGAAATGAAGCAAACATGCTACTTGAAGGAATAACATGAAAAAAAAAAAAAGGCAAAGAAGGTTTGCTTTTCCTATCTATTGAATAGACCTAACAGTTATTACTATGTCATCTCAAGTGGACATATTTTCCACCGCAGGCTATTACATTACACACTCAGTAATGCAGTCTGAGGGTGGTCTCTTAAAGATAAATGTGGCTATACCATGATATGTTTATTCAGTGGAAAAATCTATTTCAACATCTGATTAGAAGTCTTTAAAAGATTTACTCTGATAGTTTCTTTCTAATATATGTCTTGCATGGAATTGCTTTTGTCTATATAGATGTTATCCAACACCTGCATTTTAGTTTATGCAAGATTTCACAAATTACATTTGGTTTTTCTCCCACTTACTGCATGCTTATGCCATACATTTGGCAAATACTGAATCTCTTTTAACTAAGGAAGTTTTAAATTACTATCTGAGAGATATTGTCCATTGTTGAAAGCTGTTAAAGGTATTTCCTCCTCGCTAGCTCTTGGTGTAGCTGCAGCATGCATAGTACAGCAATACAGATAGAGTATGAAGGCTGACTTTTAGGGTCTGATCCAAGACCAAGAATTAGCTGTCAAAACCTTAAATTTGAGTTATGAAAGGTTTTACTTCCTCCCTTTTCTTGCTGACCAGATGATAATCTAGTTTATATCTGTCAACAGAGAAGTCTTTTCAGTTAGGCTCATACATTTTCCTTTTCATCCTGTATGGTGGGCAAGGAAGGAGGTATTGCCTGCACACTGTCCATCCACATAGAATCCATAAACATGAAATAGTGGGTAGCATCTGGATGATATGTGGTAAGAAATTCATGAATGTCAAATGCAGATGGAAGAAAGACTTGCTGAACAATATCTCTGTAAGTTTTGAGAGTATAATTTACTGATTATGTTGAGAACAGCATGATCAAACCAGACATGGACACACAGATTTCATAAGGTATCATCAAATAGAAGCATTTAAGTAATTGCTCTCAATTTATATGGTTTAGAGGCTGGAATACTGTAAGGCAATAAACCTATTGTTCACATGATACAGTAAGTGGAAGAAATTACCTACCTCATATGAAAAATAAAGTTTTTGCCATCCATTAAGAAATAAAACCATGAAGTCAGATTATGTTACCCCTTCAGGATGCCCTGCTACTTCATGGAAATAAAGATCTCCCAAGTTCCCTACAGGAAACTACCCTGTTTGTTGCTTCTTTTTTTTCCCCTTTGCTGCTCTATCCTGCTAAATTCCTTTAAGTTCTGAGATTAATTATTGCCCTTTTTCAGATAATACAATGGTGAGAACAGCTAACAACAATGATATCTGCTATGTTTCTGACATATTCCTTTCTTGGAACAAAAAGTCATTGTGAAGAATGGTCTTAATTACTGTTTCTTTGTTAAGAAATCATACCCATAGAAAGTTGCAAGGCCAGACAGAAGAGTCATTTACCTCTTGATTTTCTCCCATGAATGTATGCCTTTCCAAGAAGTTGCCACGTTGGCCTGTATAAATCTTCCAAATCCAGTTGCCACCGATCTGGTTCAAGATACCGGATAAGATCTTCCACAGTACTGAATCCAGCGACAGCATTGTTTAATACATCTAATGGCAAAGCTGATGGGGGTAGCAATGATGGGCTAGGTGCTTCTGTGTGGTGCTGCAATCAAAGCCAAGAGAAGACCACCAATCAGAGGGTTAATGGATCTGCTTTGACAAAGTGCTGTACTTCATGAAGTTACATAGCTGGGAAAGTTTCTAAGTGGCTAGCTTGTTTCCAAAGTCCAGTTTATCTAATAAGACAAATGATAACAGTCAAAAAGTACCTGATTATACTTTAGCAATAACTGTAAACAAAGTTCCACTACATAGTTTTCTTGCTTCTTACATTCCTAGCCTTGTAGCTAGCATGCCACTATACCTGTCCTCTGAACACGTTCACTGAGTGACAGACAGGATTTTAGAAATAGAACAAAGAGCAATTTCAAAATATGGTCCCATTACAGGCAATTACTGTAACTCTCTAGAAATCTGACACATTTCACATTCTGCCTTTCCCCAGAAACTTAGCCACAATCTTTGTCTTCTTGTCCTTCAATGTAAAATATGAACATAACCTAGTACAAAGACAGTAAATATTCTCCCTCTCACCCATAGATTAAAAAAAATACTCCCACCAGTTGTGTTTCATATAGTACTAAGAATTATGTTTCTGGTTAAACAGTAATGAACAAAATAATAACAACATCTGGCATTACTAAAATAATTTCTCCCTTATGAAAAAAAGTATTCCCAATGATAGCAAAAGTACTTAAATGCTGAAATTGAGTACTGAAATGTCTCTGCACATTCCCACTGCACAAATCTCACTGGCAAACTCACTGGATCAGGAGTACTTAGTCACAGGCAATTCAAGCAAAGTGAGGCTTCTGGTTTTGCTCACTCTCAATCTGTTTTAAAATTATGCATTGATTTATAATTTCAGAAGAATAAAAAAAAAGGCAGGAAGGAAAGCCTAAGCAGGAAGCTGCTTCTGCAGCACCGTAAGTTTCTTTAGGCTTTTATATATGCAGATATCAGTACAGACATTATGTCCACAGTGCTACACTAGAGCAATTTATCTGGATCATGTACGAAAGATGAAGAAAAATTTGAACATACTGATGATTTAGGGGATGGGAAGGAAAAGAATATATATTTATATATATATCTATATTTTAAAATCCACATATCGCTTTGTGTCAAAGTGGCACTCTCAGTACAGTAATGTGAAGTGTATATATACACTGTAATTTTTTCATCTATAATGCTAGATCAATGCTAGTCATTTACCTTCTCAAAATGATTAAGGATATTTATGAGAAATGCAACAGTTAAACGGGAAAAAATATTTAACAAAATAATCCTTGCAACACTACATACTAAACAGTAGTTTTCCAAAATATATATTCCTGTGATAGCTGTATTTCATACCAATAATTATATTTTCTTTTCTGTCCTCTCAATTCTATTAAATGTGCATTTTTGGTTTCAGCTAAACATGTGGTTGAAAGAATAGTAAATGGAAGTAACCACCATGCCCTTCCTATATTTTGCTTCAAGGCTTTTTCTCTCTACAACTTCAGAAATGCAGTCACTAGAATGATTGATGCTGCTTTTTAACTGGGAGCCTTGGAAAAAATAATACAAAACATAGATTAGTGTGCTGCTACTATTAACTTTACCATATTTTTATCTTGCTAATCTAGCAGGATTTCCAGTAAGGTTAGTGAAGTAGTTGCTTCCCATTCAGAATGAATGTGGGTTTCAAAACATTAAAATATTTATTTTCCTCTTGTCTTCACTGCCCACATTAAAAATAGTATCACGTTGATCCATCTATTAGGTTATGGTAACAAAGCAAAAGATTCTGGTCTACAGTTTAAATAGTTGCTCTTAGCAAAATATGCTACTCAGCAAGCTTCAAAACAGTGCTGTGACACTAATTCAGATGGTCCAAAAACGAAACATTCCAAAATGTACTTTTTTTACACTTAAAAGTAGTCAACAATATATCTAAAATAATTACCTTCCCACAAAAGAAGTCCCCAATTATTTTTTTTTTCATTTCTTGTCTTGAAGAACACATTGTCAAGCAGTTTCTGACTGACTACACATTCATCAGCTGGCACAGTTTGGAGAAACTATTAAACATCACTATGGTTTAATCAGACTAGAAGGGACTTCATAACAAAGAAAATCTCAAAGGAAGCCCCTCTCCTCTGAAACCCAGCTAGGATCTGTACCTTGAAAGAAATAACTTATTTTTTCTAATGAAATATCCTTACAGTTTCTTTTTTAAAAAAAATTATTATACAAGAACACTCCAAGTCCTGCTTAGATTTAAAGATATGTTCTTGAAACCTACAGTACATGCACATTCTTGTAATGCTCACAATAAAGGAAGCCTGTTTTCTTCCTTTATAATCACAGGTAGCCCTCCTACTAGAATCATTAGAAGCTGTGAGAGAAAGCAGATACCCAACTCTGAAAGAGTTTACCCTGAGGACACACAAGTTTCTAGGCATAACAATAGCTCTTTTCTTCCCCCCCCCACCCCAAGTACATAGGCGTGAAAAGCCTCTAGAAATCCTGCCTTACCTGAAAAAGCACAAACTTTTACTTTCTCATACAAAAGAAAATCATTTGTGAAAGTCTGTCACTTGTAAAGACATCTCTGTGCAACATTAACTGGCACCACTGCTATGCAAAATGTTAGTCTTGTTCAATTAGCAAGGTAGAAGGCAGTGAAGATGATCTGTAGCTGGGCCTGTGTGCAAACACCTAAGTAGGAAAATCGAGCTCCAGGATCCTCTTCTTGTGCCTTCAGTTAAAGAATGAAGAAAAAGAACAAGAAGTCTCAGAGGCAGGTAATCAATCTAGACTGCCAAACCCGGGGAATAAGGCAAGGATGTTCACTTGTGCATGGTAGAGATGGAAGCCAGGAAGGCCAGCACAGTCCCCATTCACTGCAGCACTTTTTACTTCTTTAGCAGACGTTACTGTCACAGTGGTGAGGATGGTTGCATGAGAGATACAGCAAGATGGAGCTTCTAAGTGGGTTGGTCTGGTAAATTAAGCCCCAGTGCCACCACAGTAAACATACACCTTGCTCAGCTATCCTCACTTCAGGGATGTACCTTCTGCCGGTGATGACACAGGCAGGGGCACCAACACTCCCCAGTTTAACCAGATACTGCAGATGAGAACCAGACTAAAGGATAACAGCCTCCCTCTTCCATGGGCCTCCAGGTCTCTGCCTTTCACAGAGAGCTGTTCTTAGTGTGCTACAACCTCTTATCAGAAGCTGTGCAGTCTCTCTTCATATGCATGCAGGGCTTTCCTTCTGTCTTGCTAACGACATTATACGCTGAATATCCATACATGCACTTGCACCAATTTATATCTTAAAACCAGAGAGAGTTTTCCAAAATCTACATCCATGTTTCTGTTATTCCATTTTGAGGATTGCTTTCCAAATTGTGCACAGTTTCTACTCTCCATAATGGCCAACGGGAGAAAGATGACAAAGATCACAAGGGAAAATGAATGTGTTCATGCCTGCTCATCTTTGCCTGTCACAAGTGTGAATAAAAGAATAAAGATGTGTAAAAGTAGTGTTGGTAACAGCCTAACAGCCTAACAGCCTAACATTTCCTCAGGTTAAAGTTTCGAAATTAAATATGTTTTTTGAAAAGTTTCACATATTCCTCCAAACAGAGATTTTGTGCTGTTGACAAAGAAGACCTGGAATTCTGATTGTGCTGGAAAAAACCAGGGAGAAACTCTCAAGGAAATTAGTAGCAAGGAAATAGCACAGGATGTCACTAATTATCAGTATTCCTCTGACAAATTGCTATTTTTTGCCTGAAGACTGTGCACATTGACACCTTTTGAAAAACACAGCATAGAAGTGTTCACTCTTGTGAAGACATAGATGACACATATCTAGAGCAAGTTCTTAAACTGTTAAATGATGCCATCAATAGCAATAACCTCTGGAAGCCATTTTCAAAAACCTTTAGTGATTTGGTTAGTTCTCATCATAAATCATGTATGTGTACACATATATTTGTGTTTATATACGTATAAAAATACATTTTGCTTTTTCCTGTGATCACGTGTATCAGAAATAATCCACACTAACTCATTGTAAAGGCAAAAAGAAAACTAATGCTCACAGTACTGTATTATATGGAAGACCTTATTGTGAATACAATTCAACATGATAGGTGTAGAAGCTTCTAATCCTAGGAAATATATACACATAGACAGCTGTCTTTCTTGGATGCAGTTGCATGGAATTATTGATCTGGTAAGTCTCCCCGAATGCTAGTTTATTAGCATTTCATAAGCACTACAAAATGATGAAATTTCTCTCTCCTGTCTCTACTTCACTGAAAGTATTTATTTTTCTAAAAAAATGATCCAGTGATTCTTGTATTCTTTTGGTCAATTAAGGAGAGAAGAGATATAAAATATTCTGCTTGAAAGCTGTGTCGCCAGCACCTCTGGCAACTGCAGAGGTATCAAACTAGGAAGTATACAATTCCTGCAACCTCTAGAAACCAGAAAGCTTGCAGATTCATCTACCTAGTTGCAATGGAAGTCAGATTTTGATGCCCTTCTACCTTTACCGTGGCTTTTTAATTACATTTGCTTGCATTAGGAATTTATGGACATAGTAATGAATGATTCTAGATAGGAGACTCAAAGAAATGCAAGACCTCTCATACCTGGACACATTTTGACTCAGTAGCCAAACACTAAGCCTTATTATTCTGAAAGCATGACCCAATGAAGTTGACTTCACTAAGCTGAGCAGGGAGCATTTAAAAACAAACACTTAGCCTGTGACAAATCAGGTCTAATAGTATAGAACAAGTTGTGGCATAGGTTGTCTCCATGACAAGCGATTTCAAAGTGGAATCAGTATGTCAGTTTTAATCTAGAGTTCCTTCCTCTAACAATTTGTCTGTTTCAAATTACTGTAGATATACAAGCTAATTTTAGGTTTATTATTCCTGAGTTTGGGTTAGTATTAAGTATACTTGTGGCAGAGTAATATTTAAATCATAACTACTTTCAAAATCTTGTTTTTAGTGAGCACTCTCATCTTGT